TAGACATAAAATATCAAGTTACTCATCAGCCAACAAATCTCAAAATATCGAAAAATGAAAAATACGAGGTACTTGTTCACTCAAATCTAGGAGTCAATTGGTAATGTGTACCTATAGATAGTTCTCAAAGTAAATGAGCAAAAGCGTAACATTTGTATGTAGCATGCTTCATAAAACACTAAACTTAGCCCAAAAAGTAAGCGTGCATTTTGTTCCTGGCACTGATTGGTTAATAAGTGAATACAATTCGTTGAATGCACGATGCACTCAAAAGATTAGCAGCTGGGAAAGGCTATTGAACAAAAAGTACGCTTTCGTACTCAAAAAAGGATTACCCTTTTACAACTTTGACAACTTTGAAGCATGAACTTCGGAAGATCTAACGAAATGTACTTACTGTTACCCTGTGGATCCCAGGGTTTTGATATGTTCTACAAAGTCATGCAAAGACAGACCATATATGCACTAAAAATATCTGTGACACTTGTATGATATGTATTCCACTTTGAACCACCATCTATTTCAATATTGTGAAAATATATATTTCCCAAATTATGAAATAAAGGAGCTTGTATTCGCGAATGCCGCTAACGCCTGTCGGCTACCGGATAAACCTACTTTACTATTTTATGGGCAATTCATTAAAATATTAATGGAATATTGTCAGGTTCTTTTCATATTTAAATGAGTCGCCCATAGAATGGTAGGTTAATCCGGAAGCTGAAATCTTCCATTCCCAAATCATAGTCTTAGCTTGTATTCGCAAATGCAACTAACGCCTGTCGGCTACCGGATTAACCTATTATTTTACTGGAAACTCATGTCAATACGAATAGTACCTGCCACTATTCCATTCATATTTAAATGACTTGGTCATATTATACTGGGTTAATCAGGTAGCCGGAAGGCGTTAGTTGCATTCGCGAATATAAGGTTAGCTTGTATTCAATAATGCAAGAAACGCCTGTCGGCTACCGGATTAAACTACCTCTGGAGTCATCGGGATTTTAAAGCGGCGTGCAAAGCGTAATCGGGTACACCCCAGTTCTCCGAAACCCAGTTGTCCGAAACCCATTACTCCGAAAAATAAAGTCATAATTTACCAGAGAAAGCGGGGGGCGTAGCTTACTTAAACTTACGTCAGTTTCATGCCATGTATTTGGCCAAATTAATGGCATGGACGCATTCTGTTATTCATAGATCTCTCTCTCACTTTGAATTGCATCCATTGCATGGCGTTACCAGAATGGCAGGAACGGGAGATTTATTTTACATTGTGATTCTAAAAAAAAGGTTATTAAAACACAATATATATTACGGAACAGTTTATCTTATCTTCTTCAATCTCTTTTATATAGGCAAAATAAAATGAAACATTTTGAAACAGATAAAATAATTTATCGCATAGAACTTTAAGAATAAAACAGTATACAAATTACGTTGTCAAAATATTTCGTCGCATTTAATTTCTTAGTCTCGGTCTCTTATCAAATCGTAAAAGAATAAAACATTCTATACTTAATCACTTGGGATTTATGTTTCGGCATTCGTTTCAGGCATTTGTTTTTTATGTTCTTCTCCTGAAATGTATTTGTTTGACAATAATCAGAGAAAGTGCGTATACGTATAAATATGCCACGCAAACAAACGGGTGTGACTTCAATTTCTTGTCTGTCTGAGGACGTATTGGGAACGAGGTAGAATTAAAGAATTCTTATGAACGAGTCATGCAAGATACTAGAACCAGTAAAGTAATGTAAATGGATAAGTTAATTTCTGATGGATCTGGATATAATATATTTCAAAACTTTGTAAACACTAGATAACTTCATTTAGGCAGATATAGTATCTTGATATATTTGGCTATCATGCGTTTAAAATACGTTCCTAAAACTATGAAGACGTTAGGTGAGAAATATTGCTATTGTACGTTCGAAAAGTATTTGGTTGTATTTTGTAGTTCTCAAGTTACCCATGAACTTTCATGGGCTAATTAACGTCTTGACTTAGCATATTTAGCCTAATTTTGCAATGATGTCAACGTGATTCAAATGTTATGCTGTCGTGATTCGCAGAGGTTGCGACAAGATTCGTTTTACAACAGATGTAACTATGAGAACATGAAAGCTCATAATCCTGATTATGCAACCTTATACAATCGTTATCTTTGGGACAAGAGCCCAAAAACAAGGTACTCGTGAACGAGAGTTGAATTTGCTCCGTGAACGATAGGATACGCTGTTCCCCACCAACAAAATACAGACATATGCTTCAGTGTCCTCAACGCAGATTGTAGAGAACAAGAGAAAAAATGAAATATACTTTGCCATAACAGAATACTGTTAAAGTATTGTAGCAGAACGATCATATAGTTTTCATTACTGTGTTTCTTTTAATTAACGTTCCATTAGTTCATCATCTTACGGACACGTGCCTGGTCAGTGAGCACCTTTGGGATGACATTTTATTTGGTTAAGACTGCCCTTTGTTGTCAATCATGATTCGTTCGACTGAGAATGGACATGATTGGCTCAGAAGGGTAGGAAAATACAGTATAAGGTGTCATCACTAGGTGCGAGAGAACAGATTTTAGCCTTTACAAGATTTACACAGTTTTACAACTCTCTACACGTTCTACAGATTTATAGTTTATGAGCATTCAGATTTACCGGAGATATAATGTACAAAGCTATATTGTACTAATTTACTAAAGGAATTAATTATACTGGAAATATATTATTGAAACACATTGGATTCATATGTGGAAGGTACGCTACATGACTCTGACTTTTAGAGTTGGTAGAAATTACTCTTGTTAACCCCTCCCGCTATACTATTCTCCTCTCCCAGTCTCAATATAAGAACCGGACGAACGTTCCCGCTTCAGTATTGTTTATTAAGTTTATTAAGTTTCACAAATAACTTTTAAATGCCTTCTTTACCGTCAACGGACACTCAAATAAATACACAATACAATGCAATGCAAGGTAATACAACGCATTACACTACAAACTAAATTAGAGTATTTGTGCATAGCATTTTCCCCTTTTGTTTGAAGGATATTTTAAGAATAATTCCAGCGTTCGTACACACCTGGAAATGTCAGGGTTTTGATTTAATTTTCCAAGTGCCTGAAATGTCAGAGAATTTTAAAATAAGGTCAAAAAGGGCCAAAGAGTCCTGGAATTTTGAAACTGTAGACATGTCATGGAAATGTCAGGGAAATTTGTATCAGTGTTGAAAAAATGATGTTCCAGAAAAATAAATTTTAGGACTATGACAGGATCTCAATGAAATCCAAAATGTAACATTTAGTTGATTCCACACGGGGCGTGTACATTGTCTAACATATATCTAAAAGGTTTACACTGTCTTGTACCCTTTGCATTCGTTTGACTTCACTTCTTAAAGGAGAGCTTCGTCTTAGTTTAACTAGACTCTGCACGCAGGGTATCTGTCTTGATTAATGAACTTCTTAGATCTAGTCGCGCTTCAGAAGTGGAAATCCTTCAATTATCAGAGGTTAATGTTTCTAAAACTGTATTGAAATAAACGTACGTCTTGTTTTCAAACCTACACCTTGCTCCTTTCTGTCGTATTAATAAAGCAAAAATAACATATCACGGTGGGATACGAACCACTCGCCTGGGATTTGGTTATTCACTAACACCATAGGCGTTCACCTATTCTGGATACAACTGACGAGTTGTATCTAAGTGGAGTCAAAAGCGAAGATCATTCTAAATTGACGCTCGGTATAAATATATGATACTTTTATCATCTCACACAGGTGAACGTTAGCCTCATGGCTAGCGTGTTTAGCTTCCACTCTCTAGGTTAGTCGATCGAAACCCGTTCATGGCGAACTTTTTGATTTGCTTGCTGTCAACTTATAATAAGTAGGGCAAAATCCAGAAAAAGTAGATCAAAAATACTCCAATGGAGTATAAAATTGTCACCAGGATTCCGAAATGAGACGAATGTTAACTCGTTAAATCTCGGTAGATAAAGTAGGTCAGAAAATCCGGATTAATCCGAACTGATTCGGGAATCTTCGTCATAAGAAGTAGATCAAAAATCCAGAGAAGTAGATCAAAAATACTCCAATGGAGTATAAAATTGTCACCAGGATTCCGAAATGAGCCGAATGTAAACTCGTTAAATCTCGGTAGATGAAGTAGGTCAGAAAATCCGGATTAATCCGAACAAGGTTCGGGAATCTTCGTAATAAGAAGTAGATTAAAAATACTCCCAATGGAGTATAAAATTGTCCCCAATATTCCGAAATACGACGAATCGAATCGGCAAACTTCGGTAAAATAATGAAGTGCATAAAAACCGAAATAATCCGATGAACGTTCGGATAAAATCGTGAACAGGTGTCAGGGGTTTCCCCTCATCTTTCCCCACATTGTTCTAAAAGCCTTATATGGATTTATCACGTAACATTCAAAATGACGTTCCTATATGGTTCTATGGGTTCGAACACGTGACCAAATATACCAAATAAAAATTTTACCTTGACCACTGGATGGGATTTCATAGAAAATATCCAAGAAAACCTATCCTCGTGATCCTTAAATCACTTAAATTCGATCATTTTATTTTCACCCCTTGATGGAATTTTATGAAAGAAGTCATGAAAACACATCATCATGTAAGGGTTTTCACCTAAATTAGCTCGTTTTATCTTGAGCCTTCAATTGAATTTCTTGAAGAAATATTTTATGAAAAAATATCATCATGTTATGATTTGTATTTAAATAAGACCGTTTCATCTAAATACTTGGATAATATTTCATAAAAAATGCATGCACTTTAAAATTTTTCAGAATTTGCCTTAATTTATCAATGTAATGAAAGTATAAGATTAACTCTCAAATAGCGTTCTATTTTAACCTTTTTATTGAAATCAATACAGGACTCGCTCTCTAAATATCCAATAAAAATTCAACCCTTGGATGTGATTTCGTTGGAAAAAAAATATGTCAAGTCCAGAATCAAATGATTTGTCCAGAACCTCTTAAGATCCTGTTGTATGTAGCATTGATGGGTTGATCCCGGACCAGTTTCTGCGCTTTTACAGCATTTTTCTTGTACTGAGGGTTTCCGAGGACCTCAACAATCGCAGCAGAAAATGTGTCCAATGTGATATCAGCAAATGATAATGTTAATCCCATTTTATGACGTTTTGTCAAAAGAGCACAGTGATGGCGCTGATCTAAAAATAAAGGAAGACCAATCACAGGTGCAGCGTTGTAAACAGCTTCTCCCGAGCTTCCTGATCCACAATGGGTAATGAATAATTTCAATTTTGGGTGCCCAAGAAGATCGTTTTGTGGTAACCATGGTGACAACATTGTATTGTTGCCTAGTGATAGAGGATCAGAGCCAATATACCTCCATAAAACTCGTTGTTTCAACATCGCAAACGCAGTAGCAAAAATTTCCCGAGTTTGCGCATCGAAACCTGTTGCCAATGTACCTAGTGTGAAGATGATAAAACCATCATTAGCGCCATCTATGAAGTTGAGAAACTTTGCATCAATTGGCTTATGGTCACGATCTAGTAACCCTAATACAGGGACAACATTTGGCATGATTGGACGAGGGTAGAAGTATGGAAAATTAGACTGGATAAAAATGAGGTCTGCATCATTGAGAACAGGTCTAATTTTATGAGGCAATCTAACTTTATCAGCGACCTTTTCCAAAGCATTATTTCTCGTGTCACACCAGTCTTTCATGTAGTACTGTAATGCCACATAGTAAAATGTATTCATTGCTCGTTCTTTAAAAGTCATTTGGTCACTTTATGACACAAACATGATAGGTATATATGATACAGGGAATGGCACCAGCCAGTTATCGATATGCATCTCAAAGCCGGCATTTGACCAAAGTATGGCAGGTCTGTCTAGATATTCCTTCATGAGCCTTCCTAAAGCAAAATCGTGGCTGTCAAATATTATCAAATCAAAGTTCTGAGCTTTGAGTCCCCTCCATTGGTCCATATTTGAGAAATATGCAGAAATTGAATAGTTAATATATATGTCGTGGATTTGTCCTTTTTGAAACACAAATGCCATTTCTTCTAGAATTGTCATTTTCGTGAAATCTGTTATCGTATCCTCTCCCAGAATGTATGTTAGGTCCTTTGTGGGATACTCATATGTGATAATGGTAACATTTGCTGCTTTAAGTATTTCTGAGGCAGTGTATTCCGTGTGGACGAAGTATGTTATATCATGACCAGCCTTTGAAAGGATTAGTGCTATCTGCTCCATAGCTGTAATCCGTGATAGCTTACATAGTGGAAAAGGTTGAATCAACACCTACAATAATAACGTAGCAGTTATAACTATGTAAACGACATTTAGGCAAAATTGTTTGTTAAATTTTCCCAAAAAATTAAAGTTATGGCCCAGATAGATTGATGGAGTGCTTCACCTTACTCTGTTTACTTAGGTATGTAATAATAATGTAAAGTAAAATATAAAGTTACCTTTCCAGTGTTGACTTTTTCGAGAGCAAAACAGCTCAGAACTAAAAGTAAAATAACTCTCATATTTGTTTTTTGTCAAGACACTTATGACAGAATGTTCTCTAGATACTAAGACTTGTTATTTTACTTTATTGTTGTATAGTAAAACCTGCATAAGTGGAACACCTTTGGTAGCTCTAAAAATGTTCCATTTAGAAGGTTTTTCATTTGCAGGGGATCATTTAACATTCGTCAATTGGTCACAGTACTCTGGAAGTGTTCTACTATTAAGGAGGTATTCCACTGACTGGGGTGTTTCACTTAAACAGTTAAAGAGGTGTTCTACTTTACGGGTTTTACTGTATCATGTAATGTGAAGGTCTAGCTCAAAATAAACGGCAAGAGTACATTCAAGTAGAATATTCATTGCACTTTGCTACCAAGTGTGAATAGAAAAAGATGTCAAAAAGGGATGAATTATCTGTTCGATGTCAAAAGGAGATATCTGCAATCCAATGTGACCTTTCATTGTGCTCCAGTAGTTACTTGTAAATGTCAAAAGTCATTTTTGTACACTACTAGTGTTTTAATGTCACCATGACTACATGGGTTGATTGTGGTGGCATCTTACTTTTTCAATCATGATTCCAGAAAAACAGAATGTCGGATTGATTAGACACCTCTAATGCCTCCGTCACATTTGATCTACGGCAACTACTGTAGATTGGTCAATTTGTCGCCTACTTTAATTTGGTGAAATTGAAAAAAATGCCAATTTACTTCTTCGCTAAAATTTAAAAGGGATCCATGAAAATGTTGTCTCTTGTGTTCAAGTCGCTTCTGGTTTAGTTTTTACAAAATCTGGATAAGGATAAGAGTGTTAATCAGAACATGTCACTTCCAAATTAATTGGCTCAGGGGAGTTGCTTCATTAATTAATTACTAGATATAGTAGTTGAATTGAAGGAACATGTGTAACAATTTGTATTTTGTTCCAGTGTCAAAGCCCTGGTATCCTCCAAATTAAATAGCTGCCAATATGCCAAAAATGGTAAAAATGGCAAAATCACCAAATTAAGTAGCGCTAAATTAACCCAGTATACAGTTCGTTGCTCTAGTTTCCCAAATTGAGAGAAATATGCAGCGTGGAATATAGGGATAAGCAGTAGATGTAGATTTTCTATATTGATTCTGTGAAGCTTAATTGGCTGCTGTAGAGCTCATGTGAGTGTGGCTTTACTGTTCAGAATTTCTTAACATGCCCCTCCAAAATTGTTCTGAGATTTTCCAATACAGTTTGCTCATGTCATTCATGCATTTTGCCACCCTCCTAGGTTGAGTTTGAAAGAACCAAAGTTGATGATGATGGAAAGGAGTCCACAAAAACTGTTAAACGTACCCTGTTTGGACGGTGGAACCCATACCCCCAGAAGAAGGTGATGCACACCACAGACTTCAACAAGCACATCCCAGACTTCACATTTGATGTTAATTACGGAGACCTGTCATTTTATCTGAGACAGAGCTAAAGTAAGAAACTATGAATAAAATTTAAAATCAATGTGTTTTATTTTTTAACTTAATTAATATTATATGTTTCTATGTATATAATGCATATAATGTGAATCCAGCCTAATTTGATACCTCCCAGATTTTAGAAAGCAGAGTGTGACATTATCACTGCTGGTTACATGTGGTTACATGTACATGTAAGAGAACAACATGATAACTGGGTGAATACATTAATTTTGAGCATCAGATTAGTATTGCACTCTAACATTATGTCAAAACTAGTTGCAGGGTTTTCGGAAAAGACCGACCCCACCGACCACCGACCGGTCGGTGTTTTCCACTGGTAGCCTCAAAACAGGGTTTGAAGAAAATGTGTAAAAGACCGACCATATCATGTAAAAGACCGAACATATTTGTAGCCTTAGAATATTAATAATTTGATTTTGAATGTCAATCGTTGGACTAGGCAACGTTTTTTACCGATTTTGTACCTTGCAACGAATGGCAAGCAAACAAATTGGTCATGACCGTCTCCTCTCGATTAATTGCCCTGCCTTAGGTCCTAACCTATCATTAACCAACCTATCGTTTCTACGGGAATCTATCCTAATTTTTACTGAAATTTAACAATTTCGAAACAAAAATGATTTGTTATCGTCATAGCCTACTGAATACTGAACACGATATAATGTTACATGCGTTCTCTTATCGGGATTAAAAGTGACTTACCATTTCAGTACACCATTAGAAAGCTTTTTTTTGTCATATCAAATGTAGTTTTTACCAGTTGACGTTTAACAACTGAGAAATCAAACATAACGTTACGACGTCAACATCGACGATGTGTGTGTGTTTTTGTTATTGCGTTTCATATGAATGAAGAATGAACTTTATGCAATGTTACGTGCGTTTTTTTCAAAGTGACTAACCAGGATGAAATTGGTCTAACTTCTAACAACTGAAACATCACTTAAAAATATGACATTACACACCACGACGATGTAACGTTTTCATCGTGATTTGAAATGATAATTATACGTTTTTAAATCACGAGTAAAGGTACTATAGTCATTGGATTCCCAGTTTTAGTTTTACTTCTAATTTTTCATTTTTTCATCTTTATGTAAAAGACCGTCAGCCGACCACCGACCACATGTACCCCACTGTGGAGAGTGACTGGTCGGTGGTCGGTGGTCGGCGGTCGGTGTTTTACGAAAACCCCTAGTTGCAGGACATTTGGTGACCTTGAACTGAACAAGGTGTCATTGGCGGGTGTAGCAGACGCACATACCAAATATGGCAAGGATGCAGAGTCTAAGGGGGTCAAGGCACACTTCAAGATGGATGAGAGCGGAATTCTGGTTCTAGATAAGGTAATACATCTTAAAGTGAAAGTCTTGAAGGAAAGAGTGTTATACCGATGTACATGTCAAAAGAAACAAGGATATGGTATTATAAATGATGTTGATGAATTGATGAAATGAATGAAGAGGTTTTCCTAGAAGAATATGATAGAAATTCTACTAAATCACTTCATTCGCATATACTCATTGGCCTTTCAGTTGAATTCTAATACAGCAGTATCTGCCCTATTTTAAATGGACTCAAATCCAGTTCGCTCAATGTGATGAAATTTAGTGTTAACATTAGAGAGGACCTATTTCATTCAGCTGTAAGATCGGACTCACGTAAAATGTCGAAAAGTAGCTAACTATAAATATTATTGTACCTAAAAGAGGTACTCCAATTGAAGAGCAGCCATTTGTAAATATTGTATTTATAGGTCGAGTTCCAATTTGAAAAGCAACCATCACCAGAAGATGACCAGTCAACATTGTCTAGTGAGTAGAATTGGTTGTTGTAAATACTTATACCCTGATTATTGTATCTCTTATAGAATATTGACACATTCATTCAAATATGGGAGGTGGTACTTGTCTTGAGTAAAGAGCATCTTAATATTGTAGATTCAGTTAATTTTCAGAGAGGGGGGTCATTTCCTGAAAATATTGTCAGTGACGACTTGTGACGTTCAATTGTCTTTGACATTCAATTGTCCTTTGTTGCTATAGTAATGCATCAAGGACAATTAAATTACAGCAATCCTAATGACAACCTTTTTTCCGGAAATGGTCTCCAGTTTAAAAAGTGATTTTGTTAAACAGTTGAAGATATTGTCTATGTATAATACTGTAAACCTTGTTATAAGATCTGGTTCTATTTTGTAAACTTCTGAGTTCTGAACTCAGAAATGTGCTCTATGCTGAATAACCTGTTTTACAGTCTGGAATTATGAAGGGTCAGTTTGTTGATTTTTGTTTAGATAAAACAGATGAAGCCTTCTCTTTTGCCAGTAAGTGGCATGGGGACATGGATGTTGTAGCTCCTAGCTTCAGACTATACTAATTTGGGGTCTTGCATTAGCAATTAATATTACATGGCCTGTTTCGTGAAAAGATGTATATTACGTAACACTTTGAAGTCTTTAGCTGTATTAATTTAGCATTTACCTCTCTGTCTGTATAAATCCTCCTCTTTGAACATGTTGAATCCCTTGGCTGAATTGTTGTGAAATCTCATAGCAGAACGCCTGGTGTAAACACTGCTTCACAATGTGCATCATTATATGAAATCTAATAGTGAATTAACAATACCACTCTTTCAACACTTTGAACTGTTGAAGCCCGTTTAATGATTGCTGATACAAGGAGTTGAAATAAATGTACAATATTTTTGCGATTTTGGTTTCTCTGTGTAATATCACACCATTCTGTGTGGTATCATTGCCAATGAGTTGATATTAAATAT